TCTGCGCCACAATTCCCAGAGTCCTCCTGTGCCATAGAGGACAGTGACACACAAGCGGCAAAAGCCTGGGGTCGATGAGACTGGAGGAGGTGGAGAAGCCACCCCCTGTTTTCCACACTCTGACAGGTCAGACACCTATCAGGGCCTCCAGGGTCATAGCGGTTGCATGGCAGAAAGCCTGAAGGAAGACAGGAAACTTTCAATGTCACAAAGACAAGGGGGTGTGAGACTAGAGAGGTTGAGTTCAGGGTCTCCAGGGCGATATCCCCCCCATGTCTCAGCAACACTGTCTGAGCCGGGATCCTGTCCAGACCCAGAACCAGGGACGGATTCGCTGCCCGGTGAAAGAGGCTGGCGGGAAAGTGAAGATCGGGGCCTCGTTATCAGCATCAAAAAAAGCCACCTGCCCCCATTCACAGTCCAGAGAAATCCGGATCCTTCTGGGGACCCGGCTCAGGGGCAGGGGGGTCTCAGGGAAGGTGAGAGCCTGGAACTGACGCCCCCACAGCTGCACAGCCCAGATCCCCCCCTCAGGGTTATGACTGATCCAGCCTTTCCTCCTCACAGACTCTCTGGCCACCCCCACAGCCCAGCGTTTCCCATCCCCCACCTCCACCTCCCAGCAATGTCTCCCCGAGGTGAATCCCTCACAGCCCAGCACACAGAGCTCAGTGTCAAATCGCTCAGGATCATCGGGCAGGTACCGCGGGGTGTGTCCCCAGCTCACACTTTTCTGATCCTCAGACACGACGAGCTGGGGATGAGCCGTGTCTGGATCCAGAGTCACCGTCACTGGGGAGAGAGAATCAGAGCGTTAGGGGCAGAGCTCGGCCCGGGGGGGCGGGGGGGCTGGGGGCATTTCTCACACTCCCCAGCAGCCCTGGTCTGCCTGGGACAGGCCTGGATCCCAGGGCGCTGCCTCTGTCCTGGGCACCTGACACTGAGCAGAGACGTCACTGCAGCTCTCAGCCTGGGTAATGGGACCCCCTGTTGCACGTTCGCATTCAGTTACAGAGGCTGCAGGTCCCTGCTCCCCAGCTGGCGTAGCTCAGATGGCAAAGAGTCTGGAGGGGAAAAGGGTCCCAGAGATGAGAGCACCTGGTCTCTGATTTACAGCGCCAGCCTGGGGAGCGGCTTCTCTGCCCCGAGTGCCCTGGCAGCTCCTCCCCCGGCTGCTGGGACCTGCTGTGGGGGCTGCAGAAACTGCCTCTCTCCCCCTTCCTGCTGGGGCGGCTCCCCGGAGGGTTAGAGAGGAGGAACCTGACGTTGCGCAGAGGGGCGTGAGAGGGGGGAGGCACCAGATATGAACCCGGGGGAAGCAGTTCACTGAGCCCAGCCTCCTGTCCCTGGCCTGGGAGAAGAGGAGGGGACAGGGCATTGGGGCAGAACCACTCCAGCCCAGAGAGTGGTCAATGGGGGGTGGCCTTGGGAAGAGAGAAGGGAGGAGGTGGCAGCGTCAGAGGAACACTGCATCTCTAGCGGAGGAAGAACTGGGGAGCTCAGCCTGCCCAGCAGAAGAGAAAGGAGGGATGCTGGTGAAGAGCCATGGGAGAGAGTCCCTTGCTCAGGGAAAAGCAGAGGGGCACATGGACGGGTATGGAAACACCAGGGCATTTGAGTGGCGCTCGGGGCGAGTGTGTCTGGTCATGGACTCAGTGCAAAGGCTGGTGGCAGGATTGTTTGTGTGACTTCAGCGCGGGATCGCCACCACATTTCAAGTTTGTATTTTTATTTCTTGGGGGTGGGGGAGTGTCACATTGGGTGTTGGTTTGGTTTGGTTTGTGTCTTTAGCTACTCATTTATAAAAGTGTTTTCATGCATTTTTTTCTCTGAAGTGAAAGTTAACCTCTCCTGAAATCTCTCACCTGCTCTGTATGAGCCTAGAGATTTCCCTCTTTTTATCTGAATTTCAGAGCACAATCCATGAAGCAGTGAGTCGCTCCAGTGGGAGAGCCCAGCCCTGACCTAAGCAAAGGTTGGATGTTGGAGAAGAGCTATGGGGGAGACCCCCTCTGCCAGGGTAAAGGAGAGGGGTGTATCTGTCCTAAGGGGAGAGTGCTTTCTCCACATTCCTCTTAATTTAATATTGAAAAGGCCTATGAATATCTATGAAAACCCCAGGGTCAGAGTTAAGGGTGTTTGGATGTTGGTCAGTATCTGTTTCTATTCACCGGTGTGGGCATGAACTGAGCACTAAGGTTGGTGTAAGGACTGTTTGTGTGACTTTAGCTTGGGATTTCCTTAGCAGTTAATGTTTGGTTGGTTTGGCTGGAAACTTTAGCTTCAAATTAATGGAAATGTTTTCATGGGAATTTTCTTCTTTTTTAAAGATAACCTGCACCTGCAATCTTACCCTGTCTGTGTGCGCCTGTCTCCGGTTCAGATAGCAGAGTGTCTGGAGATGGAAAGGATAAAAGAGGTGAGATTTCATGCTGTCATATTTATAACATCCCCATTCTTATCTGACATAATTATGTCTTAATAATGAGAGAGAAACAGAGACACACCCATCTCTTTAATAATAACTAATCTGAAACCTTCCGTTTCAGGGGTCAGCAGCCTTTGGCACACAGCCCGTCGGGTTAACTGGCGGGCGGGCTGCGAGAGAGTTTGTTTACATTGAGTGTCCACGGGCACAGCCCCCTGCAGCTCCCAGCTGCTGTGGATTACACACAAGAGGCTCCTGTTCTGGAGGGACTCACCAGGATTTACGCCTTCCCTTTTGGCCCACACCAGCTGCCGTAGGGGGCCAGAGCACAGTGATGGGCTGGGTCCACATTTCAAAAGTGGCCTGAAACGTTGGGTTCTAAACTGCTCTCGAGCCCTGTGCTCGAGTTGTGTAGTTGGGAGAGAGAAACTGAGGTACCCCAAATTTTCCTATATTTTTACCTGAATGATTTTGCCAAAGCTCTCTAAATGAATCAGCGTGAGACATCCTGGGGCCCTGCTACATCTGCTCAATTTGACGACTTTCCATTTTTTATTAAATAGATACATAACCTAATTATTAACCAATTGGCCAGAGTCCAACTCCTCCCACAGTCTCAGAGACACACCATGATTTCCCTCCCAGAGCCCAACTCTCACTACCTTTGAATTCCCTCAGTGTCTCCATTAAAACAATATTTTCTTGGGAGAAATCACTGAGTCTCTTCTCTAGCTCCGGAGAAATCTCCACTGGCTGCTGGAATTTCCTCGCCTCACACCTGGGGAGAGAGAATTTCATTGTTACATTCCAGTCACTAACTCGCCATCATTCCTGGATAGAGGAAGTCGCTGCTCTATAGGGCCTGTGGCACAGACCATGGCCGTGCCACCATCCCCCAAAAGCCCAATTCATGTTCTTCCACTCTGGCCTAGACAGAGCAGATCTGAGGATAAAAGAGGAGTCGAGTTTCCAGGGCGAATTCTCTCCTTGGCCTCCATGTACCAACACTGGTCTGCTCCATGTTTCTTGTGTGCATCATGCTATGAGATCTTTCTTTCAGGTAGTAAACTGAGACCTCGGCTGCACCCAAACCAGCTCATTCCACACAGGTCTCTAAACAGACTTCCAGTGGAAAAGACTCGTGATCCCTGCTGAGCAGGGTTTGATTATTACCAGTACGCCAGGGATGAAAGGCCCGTATTGCATCCAGGGGCAGCTCTATGGTTTTTGCCGCCCCAAGCACAGCAGTCAGGCAGCCTTCAGCGGCATGCCTGCGGGAGGTCCGCCGGTCCCGTGCCTTCGGCGTCCCGACCGCCGAATTGCCGCCGACGCCGCAGGACCGGTGGACCTCCCACAGGCATGCCGCTGAAGGCAGCCTGACTGCCGCCTTCACAGCGACAGGCAGGGCGCCCCCCGCGGCTTGCCGCCCCAGGCACGCGCTTGGGGCGCTGGTTGCATCTCCAGAACCCTGAGGCAGCCAGTCCCCCAGGGTGTCACATCTCCAGGAAGTACTTTAGGTCAGTCTTTCCCACTGAATAGATATTCCAGAGTCTTCTATAAAAGGCTGAGACCCTCAGGATTAAGTTGATCAGAGAAATTTGTATCCAAAAAGTGACCCTGCCCCATACATTTTGCTGTAGAGCCCCGTGGAGATGTGCTGTTAATGTTCTCTCCAAGCTCTTTCACAGCATCGTGAAGTACAGGGGGAGTGAGAAAGAGCCACATACCTGCTCAAGGTGCTTCTGAAGTCCTAGAGAGGAAAGAGACAGAAAAACCACCTTAGTCTCACTTGCCATGATGCCTCCCACTGGGGATCCCAGGAAAGGGATTTTGCAAATATGAGGAAAAGCAGCTTGGCCCGGGGCCCAGGTCATGGGTCTGCTGACTCAATGTCACCTTTATATCTATGAGTGACACTGAGATCTCCAACTGCTGGACCCCAGTGCCCATGATTCAGGAGCTGTCCTGTCCCTGTGATGGGATCTGGGATGTTTCTAACTCAGTCTCACCTGCAGGAATTCACTCGCTGGCTTCTGATACTTCCCCTCCAGCTCACTGATCAGCTCACTGAGACGGGAAATCTCCTCAGAGAGTTTGCTGGCATTGTCATTCTGTATCTTTACAACCTTTCTGTCCAGCTTCTCCAGCTGGGCCAGCAGGAGTCGCTCTTGTTCCTCCAGGAACTGCCGCAGTTGCTGAAATTCAGACATAATCTTCTGCCTCTCGGCTTGTGTCTGGATCTATTAAAAAAAATGGCAGGCCAGGGACATAGAATCTAGGGTCCTTTCATGGAGTGCCAAGTATGCAGGAGACACAATTTCTTTGCAAGCTCTAAGATGTCTGACACTTGACTTTACCCCGTGGTTAACAGGGAGAGAATTTCCTAACACATTCCCACTAGGGTGACCAGATAGCAAGTGTGAAAAATTGGGACGGGGGTGGGGGGTAATTGGAGCCTATACAAGACAAAGCCCCAAATATCAGGACTGTCCATATAAAATCAGGACATCTGTTCACCCTAATTCTCACCGGCCCGAATATCTTTCAATGGGAAGTTTCTATGACTAACATGGGCAGGGCACTGTGTTATCAGAGGTCTATGTTAATCCAGACCCAGAGCAGAGGAGGCAGGACTCAGCACTACATTGACAGAGATGCCAAGGGAGAAAAAAAGAATCGAACAATTAAACAAGGCAAGAAATGCCTACAGACTCAGGCAGATAGTGCAGCCCGAGATATAGGTCAATTCACCTTGGGAGGAGTTTTGTGAAAGCTGCAAGGGCTAGAAATGAACTGGAATGGAAGTTTAGATTCTGCAGAATATGATGTTGTCCTGATCCAGCCAGAGGATTTCGCAGGGCCAGTGTATGTGTGTGCAAACATGAAGCTAACCTAGCAATCCCTGGTCATGGAGAAACACACACAAGTCCACTTTCTCCAAGGCCACAGAGGAATCTGTTTCACAACACCTCCCACTGCAAGTCTCTGCAGGTTAATAACACTGGGCACCTACCAGATATTCCTGGGTTTTCCCCTCTCCAGTCACTTGAAATCCCAGCAGCTTTTCTCTCTCTTCCCGCAGAGTCGATAAATGGGCCTGAATCTTTTCCTGGAGAAACAGAAATGATTTGAGTGAGTTTATTTTGAGGGTTCAGAGTGTGTATGTGGAGAGGGGTTTCTTCCATCGCAACCCAAGACTCTGTAGGTGACTGTCAGCTCTACAGGGTCCATGACATCAGGAACCACAAGGAAATCAAACCTCATTAACAGAGACTAGGACTGTTTTATATTCAGACAGTTTAGACTCATTTGTCCTCTTTCTCCATTGAGTAAAACCAGCAGGAAACTGGAGTCACATGGTGGTGAATCAATAAACCTACACTTGACAAGTTTTCGCTAACACCTTTGGCTGGTGCTTGGCCACATACACAATAACACCATTCAGACTGCAACCCAGTCTGATCCCAATGGTATCTGCGCTGTCTGGGGCCCGCCCCTTCTGTGTTTGGATTCAAGGTGCTGGGGGTCCGCACAGCGTTTGGCTCAGTGACCTCCCCTACTGCTGGTCGGCCTCTGAGTATTACCCCTCATGGAGCAATATGGGAATTCAGAATCCCAGTGGGAAACCTCGGCCTTGAAATGGCCACACTTCATCACGAGCAGGTACTGTCGGGGAGGCAACATGGCCCAGTGGTTGGAGCTTTGGCCTAGGCCTTAGAAGAACCAGTTTCTGTTCCCAGCCTCTCATTTCCTGGGCACGTCAAAGCCCCTCTCTACGGTTCAATTTTCCCCTCCCAACCTTTGTGTCTCTTGTCTATTTAGACCAGGGGTTGGCAACCTTTCAGGAGTGGTGTGCCGAGTCTTCATTTATTCACTCTCATTTAAAGATCTGCGTGCCAGTCATACATTTTAACGTTTTTAGAAGGTCTCTTTCTATAAGTTTATAATATATAACGAAACTTTTGTTGTATGTAAAGTAAATAAGGTTTATAAAATGTTTAAGAAGCTTCATTAAAATTAAATTAAAATGCAGAGCCTCCCGGACCTGTGGCCAGGACCCGGACAGTGTGAGTGCCACTGAAAATCAGCTCGCGTGCCATAGGTTGCCTACTCCTGATTTAGACTGTAAACTCCTCAGGACAGGGATTGTCTCTGTGTTTTGCGGGGGCCCTGCAGAATCCAGGTCAGATCTCATCTGGGATTTGTAGTGGTTACTGGGATGCAAATATTAATAATTATAGTAATGATAATAATAAAAAAATGTAGTAATAGCAACAGCGCGCAACTCCCCCTTCTCCAGCCTGAGGGCAGCACTCTCACATAGTTCAGCCTAACAGAAGTATTGGGAGCATAAGCTTTCGTGGGTAAG